CAAAGTTTCCTGGTGGAATTCTTTAGGCAAGGCTCAAGGTCAAAATTTGTCTACTTCCTTTCTCCCATAGGAGTCTCTATAGCAGAACTGGGACAATAAAAGATTTACTATCCCCTTTTCTCAAGATCAGCCCTAGGAGTTGTAGTTCCTTCCCTCCCCACTACCATCACTACCAGCAGCAGCAATACCATCATGACCATCACCACCACTATGACCCACACGGCTACCCTGACCATGAACACCAGCCCTACACCATCAACATCAGTCACCACCAATGCAAAGGACCACATCATCACCACCAAACAACCATCGTTGCCTTCTCTTCAGCCTTCCCAAGGCCCTGTGGTGACTCTACAAAATAGGCACGTCTTCCCCGTCTTTCTAACTCTTTGCTCACCAGATGCCCATTTCTGGAGAGAGGAGAAAACAAAACCTATCTCTCTCCTGATCTCTTGCTTCCACAAAGCCAGACTGACCTCGTTGGATTTGACTTGGTCTGAGCTTGGTGAGCACATAGTCATGATTCTGAATGTTTGTTCTACCCTGTCCAACCTATTTTCTCCCTTTGTCTCCTGAGAAAACTCCCTGCTCCATAGACTTGGGAAGCCCCAGCTCTATCCAGACAACTCTAACTCTTGAAAAATGGGGTTAAGAATCATGATAAGTGATCCCTTGCCCCTATTGGCTCCTTTGGGTCTGTGGCTATTCTGTGACAGAGAGCTTGAACCCTACTGAGACTGACCATTGGCCACACTGGAGCCACTTGGTTTCCATCCACTCTGGCTCTGGATGAGAGGTTTCTGTTGAACCAGAACAGTAGGGCCAGGATTGCCCTTCAGCTGGAGAGTGTGCCAGGGCAGAGGCAGGAACCTGCTCACAGCAGTCTCCTGCTCCTCTGCTGCCATAGTGGTGTGGCATGGCTTCACAAACAGCACCAGCCACCAAGGCACCGCTTCCTAGAGGCTTTCAAGTTTCTTCCCATACTGAACATGGTCTAATGTAGGTCACAGAGGGAAGAGAAATCCGATTTTAAAAAGCAAGAATGCTTTCCTGTAGTCGGGAGCACGGCTGCAGTGGAAAGAGGGATGAAAAGCAGCACCTGGACGTCTCAAGTAACAACAAATCAGAGACACTTTGGGTTCAATTTTCTGGACTGAATGAAAGTGGCATACAGTGTAGACAGCAGCAGGTTCTTGTGATGGTAAGTACATGGCCCAGAGCCACTGGTACACTACTTCCTTGGGACTTCACAGACCCTTTCACCTTCCCAACAAGCATTGGGAAATTTACACATTGGTATTGCTTTTTTTAAATTATTATTATGACTTTATGTTAGAAGATTCCTGATAATCCTCCAATATAATAGGATTCCTATTACTTGGATTAGCTTCTACTGTATTTATTTTTTACTTGTAGTTGGACACAATAACTTTATTTTATTTTTATGTGGTGCTTAGGGTTGAACCCAGGACCTCATACATGCTAGGGGAGCACTCTACGCTGAGCCACAATCCCAGCCCCCTTTGGATTAGTTCCTACTATGGCTGTTACAAACTACCACAAACTTGAGTCTTACAACACCATGGATTTATTTTCTCACAGTTCTGGAGGCTGGAGTCCTCCAACCAAGGGGCTGGCAGGACTGTGCTCCTTCCAGGCTCAGGCAGAATCTGTTGCCTTACTTTTATGGCTTTTGGAGGCCACTTGCATTCCTTGGCTAGTGGCCTCATCCCTCTCTGAAGCCAGCAGTGCAGCATCTCCCAATCTCAGCTCATAAGCGCCCTTGTGGCGACACTGGGCCCCATGGGATAATCCCCTGCTGCAATTTGAATGATTTTCCCACCAGAACTCATTTTGAGGCTTGGTCCTCAATGTGGCAGTGTTGAAAGGTGTGAGGATACCAAGATGAAGCCCTTGTGAATGGATCCACTTTTTCCAGGAGACGGTTAATTCTGGTGGGAGTTTGGCCCCTCTTCTCTTTGCACAAGTCCTCTTTTCTTTTTGCTTTTGCCACTACATGACAAAGCAAGAAGCCTTTGCCAGATCAGAGGCAGTTGCCTGATCTTAAACCTTCCAGACACCAGAATCTTGAGCTAAATATATATATTTTCTTTAGAAATTAGTCTTGGATATTTTACTATGCCAAAAGAAAATGGACCTGTCATCTCCTGCCTCGAGATGATAAACTTAATCACATATGTAAAGCCCTTTTGCCATGAGGTAACACAGGATCCCAACACAGGCTCTGGACATCTTTGTGAGCCATATTCAGTTTACTACCCTACTCTTCCTGCCACCATGGGATAAAATCTGATTGTATCCTATGAGCCAGACGTTGTGCTGCTTTACATGCTTTCTCTCAATTTGTCTGCAAGCCAAGTACTAAAATTGTGTAAAGAGTTTTCTTGGACAGGCTGTAACTTAGCTGCACTTTCTGATAAATGACAGTAATTTATCAAAAATTGAGTAATGATTCACAAAATCTGCAATCCCACTCCTGTCGAGCACTGACTTGCACATGCCTATAAGCTAACTAAAACTGTAGCTTTAGAAAATTGTAGCCATAAAATCTATAGTCCTATTGGAAGAAATTTGCAGTTAGAAGAAATCCAACCGCATTTTTAAGTGGTAGAATTGAAATTCAAACACTGGGTTCAACTGGCTGAAATCACTGAAACCAACATTAATTAAATTTATGGTTGTTACCCCTAAATTTAACTGGACCCAGCTTAGAAAACATGACAAGCTCTCGAACGAAATACTATAAAATGCATAAACTTCAAGGGGGATTTGTCAGCAAAATCTGAGTTGGGGACCAGAATCTGTCACTGATGATCAAGAAACAATTTATAAACTGATGGGTGCACGGGAATGTATTTTTATTGAATGCCTGTCATGTAGTCAAGTGGCATCTGTTCTGTGCTCTCTTGTCACTCATTGGTTTAAAAGGCCTTTCTTTGTGTACTGTGAAGTACTTCACAGCTCCACTGCTGAACACAGGACCTACCAAATGACAGTTCCTACACTTGAGATTTGCTAAGTATTGTAAGGGTTAGCAGCTCTTGAACATGTGGATGACCCTCTCAACTATTTAATTTAATTAGGACTATTTTAAGATTGAAGAATAATTGAGAAATAACTAATTATTGAATTTGCCAATAGAAATAGTCAAGCCCAGTGGTTCCCAGGCTAATTGAACTCCTGAAGCACATGGGAATCTTTACATCAAGAGAACTGAAGGTCTCCAGACTAAGTATGTTCCACATACTTAGTTTGCTTAAAAAGAAGCATCCAGATCCTAGTAGCTTTTGGTCACAATCAAGTACTGTCATGAAGGTCTGTGAAATTCTGACATACTTAAAATGGTTGGGCACTGCTCCACTGGCTTGAAGAATTTAGCAGGCGTTTGTGAAACATTTCTAACACAAACACTTCCATTCATGTAGGATTAAAGCTTCAAAAGAGCTGCCATCTGACAGTTCTACAGAGGAGTTAAGTCTCCCAAAAAATATTCAAGGACTTATAACAATGAAACAAGACCAACAATGCTGATGAAACCTTTCCATACTTACAGCCCACGAGGAACACAGGCTAGCAAGCTCCAGAGGTGGAGAGCAAGCACCCACACACTGCACACCACTAACTTGCCTGCAGTGAGCACTCAGATCTATAAACCAGAAGACTTGGTCTTTGAAACCCAAAACTACTAAGAAAAATGTACCTGGATTTTAATTTTTAAATGAATGCTATTGGTTGTTTCAAGAAGCGCTTTACAGAAGACCTTTGCATTGAAGGATCTTGAAGTTTGAATGTTACTATCAGTCTTTTTTTAAGAAGTCTACTTCAGAGATGAGAAACAGCATGTGAAAGGTTATGATTTGTCCCAGACTGTGGTATAGTTGTAACCGAAGAGCTCAAGTTGTTCAAAGATCAAATATTTGCAATAAAATTGAGTGCTGTGGGTTACAATCCAGGAAAAGTGCTGTACGGAATGCCCTTAGTTGAATTCCAACTAAGGAAAGAGCTAGACACATTTATAATCATCTTTTCTTAAATGAAACAAACCCTTGATTCAAACTAGCAGTACACTATTCTGATATAGTACATTAAACTGACAGCATGGTACTGGGTGTTAGTCATTTTTGGATGTTGTAAAATAAAGATTCCTCTTATTTCAGAACCTAATGCTTATTTTTATCACTAAATAATCATTTACTTAACCAAACAGGTAACAGAAAACACAATCAGGTTTTAGATTATTAATCCTAATGCACCCAATATTTAATTCTAAGACACAAAGGAATCTTAACTACAGAACTGTAACATTGGTCTGTCTTATCTCAAGGAATTCAGGCTTTTTTTCCTAGAAACTTTTTTTAAACAGGGTCTCACCATGTTGCCCAAGCTGTTCTTAAACTAGTTCAAGTGAGCTTCCTGCTTCAGCTTCCCAAGCAACTGAGATTATAGGGGGTGCCACTGTGCCCAGCTTCCTAGAAATCTTAGCCAAAGTTTAAATGAACAATAAATTCCAGCTTTCTTAAAATGATGTAAATTATAGTCGTGCTGGTAGAAGTTACCAAATACCTTTTAGTATGTTTTAAATGCATATAACCATTTCAAACTTTAGATTGTTATTCTCATTTAGAATATACAGTGCTATTGCAAAACTAAGCATTATGGTGAAGGGTAAAGTCCTACCAGAGGGGCTCCCATATACCAGTGAGATGACCTTAAGTTGCTGAAATCCAAAGAGTCCACAATTCCTTTTTATATTTTCTTCACAGAATTGAAGGGGACAATGGCTCATGTTTTTCTCATGCTGATTGCTGATATTAATGTACTTTCTGTGGATATCCGGGGCAGTCAGCATGTTCTGATAGGTCTGTTCAGTCATTCAATCACACATCTGTTCATACCACCCAATAGCCAGCCAGCCAGCATTCACAGATCACCAACTATGTGGTGAATTCAAGCATAGTAAATGGAAACAAAACAACAAGTTTTTAAAGAATTACCATACTTTTATTTTTGCTTAGTTTTATTAAAAAAATAAATATGTCATAAAGCTTTTGTTTCTTTTAGGGAGAAAAAAAGGAACAGGTTTCATAAAATCAAATAAGCAATGGTAAGGTGTCTTAACTTGGAAAAGATTGGGAATCACTGGTTTAAAGTTATAACTAAATGAAAGAACAGCTGCCACAGTTGCCTGTTTCGTGCCAATACAGCAAACAGGGTCAACTAGGGCAAAATAAATAGCTGTGTGGAAGCCCTGTAAGTGCTCGAACAGGCGATTCACTGAGACGTCAGTACAGCTATATCTTGCTTTAAATAACACAGAGGTTCCTGAAAAGTCCTAAGTAAATGAAATAACCATGAATGTACTAGGAGAGCTTGGTGTCTAAAGGAATTCTGTGGTGAATTCTGTGAACAACCACTGCCACTCTAGTAAAGATGCAGGATTTGCTTTGCTTGAGGTGAAGCACAGCTGCTGTCTCTGAGTTGAGGCAACAGCAGCATGTTGTTCACCTTGCCGTGCTCCAGAGCTGGGCTGGGGCACAATTCCAAGTTTGTGTTTCTATTAACTGAGTAGTGTAGGACACAGCCAGCCAGGGGACCCAGCTGTACCCAGCAAGGCAGGCACAGGGCAGACTGCCACCTTTAACAGTGATTTCAATGCAACAAGTACTTCAGAGAATCTACTGTATGCAAAGCACAGTAATAAAACTTATTGGCTTGGTTACAGATGTACTTCCTTTCTCTTGAAACCTCCAGGAAGGCACCAGGTCTGGAACCCCCAAGAAGGCGATACTCCTAACCCTTAACACTGGCTTTAACCAGTTAGCGGCCCAACACCTTAGAACCAAGGTGGATGACAATGGAAGAGACTGAGTTTCCCAATGCTGAAGTTAACACAAGAATCTTATTTTATATAACCAGATAATGAAAAATTTTGCTGGTGACATATCTTCAAATGGTTCCTTTTTTTTTTCTCCCCTGCTTTCCTAAACTTCCTCTAAACAGAACTCTGAATTCTCAGGCAAACTGCAGAACAGTTCAAGTCATTAATAGTCTTTTACTGAGTGATGTGTTTCGATCCTGCTGACAGAAATAAGAACTTCTTTCTAGCCACCAAAATGTTATGAACTTATACTATACCCAAGTAGTGATGTTCTGGATGGAAATAAGCAGGATAGTATCAGTTCCAGTCAGTTTTATCAGTGTAAGAAATAATCCTCACTTTGCTCATAGTCTCCATCTGACTTGGCCAAACTACTATCAGACCCAAGCAGCATTTGATTAGTTAAGCTGTTGGTTTCTTTTTCTTTTGTTTCCAAATGCTTCTAATAATATTGCTGCCTATATGTACAAGTGTGAATGGAGAGTATGCAATCTTTAGTCTTTTCCACACTGAGTACACTAACAATTAGTAAATAATTAAACAATAAGTGGTCATTTTAAAATCTGTTTTTCTTTTTTTAAAAAAATTACATTTTCTAGCACTTAAAAAATGGGTCTGAAAAGTGCCCTATTACTGTCCAATGCTGTTCCCTACCCAGTCCCATCCATTCAAAACCTGCTACAAATGCTGGATTGAGTTCATATCAAATAATTTAGCAGTACCAAGGTTTTTCAAATGGAAACAGTGTTACTGACTTCTTCATATTGGATAACAAAATAAGGATAACTCTGATCATCATTAAAAATGACAAAAATCTGAGGCTCAAAGAAATTATCCACACAAGAGTCATACAGGTCACTGGTGACGCTGCCAGGATTGACAGGAGGGGGCCTTCTCATGCCATGACTACCCATTGTGTATCTGCCAGTCAGCACTTTGGCCAAAAACATGAAATGGATGCCTTTGGAGGATTTCTTAGAAAAGTTATGAGAGTAGCTTGCCTTCTTTGCAAAATAACTGCCTTGTCCAAACATTGTAGCATGCTTTCCACAGACTCGAGGGTCAAAGTTGTGCTTGCAGATTCCATCTACCACATCCTGGGATGTTCCATGAAATAAATGTCTCTCATTTATTATTCTGTCACGGCCAAACATTTTCCGGTTCATATATTCCTTTTTCCTAAGGTAAAAAGTGAACAGATAAATCAGAAGGAAATAGAGATCAATTTAATAAACATGATGTATTTGCACACTTTTCTTCATGATTTCAAGGAAGAAAAGTACTAATGTAGGTATCAAGGGCAAGATGCCATCAAAGATCATATTAAAAGTTTAAACTGAGCTTTTCCATTCCAGAAAAGTTCCTATACTTCCTTCTTCACTAACCACTTGCTTTCTCTTCCATTTCAAATCTAGTTTGTGTTTTACATTCCTCAGGTTCCCTTCCTTGTCTGAGCTTCCTCAGTCTGCACAGGTTCCCTTTGTACTACATTAGCTTGTCTGCTGAAGTGAGGGGCAGCACAATAGAGATTAAGAGCAAGGACTCTGGGGCTCAACTGCTCAGGTTCAAACTCTAGTACTGCATCTTATTAGCTGTGTGACCTAGGGAAAATTGCCAAACTTTACTACTGTTCACCTTCCTCTCTGCAAAATGTAATTTGTAATAATCCTATGTATAGGTTTGTTATGGATCGTATGTGAAATAATATGTGGGAAAATACAAACATTAAATTATATGTAGGTGTTTATTACATTCTGCACTTGATATTAGCTACATCAAGAAAAGCTCTCAGGGAACTTTTCACATCTCTGACTCACCTTTTATATTTCTCCCAAAGAAACTGATTTTGGACTCTCAATATTTGCAAAATTCTATATTTAAATTCAGGCACAGTTTTATGAAAAAGGTTGTAAATGATTCGGTAACTTTTGTCCTCTGCAGAAACAGGCACTTGGATGAAGTCCTGAGATGGATGCATATAAATCCAAGTTTCAGGGTAAAAGTTTGCTGAGGTGACGCCATCTGGGCAGATGATTTGTGATGATGAACTCGCTTCAAGAGGTGGAGGAGCCTGAGTGGGAACTCCACCAAGTGTCCTAAGATGGAGAAGGAACATTCATGTAAAACAGCCAGAAATAAATACATTTCACATTATAAGTGCTCTATATTATAACTTGTATGGCTTAAATGCTTGTTTAAAAAACAAAAATATTCTTCATTTGAAAGAAAAGACAAAAACAAACACACCCCACTGCCTGTACATGGATAACCTATTATTAGCGTCTTCCTGGCCTCCTCCCTGTGGAGAAGTTCTGGAATGTACTGCTGCAGGGCAAATAAGCAAGGGCCAATTTATGAGTATCTCTGCTTTTGAATCCTCCTGGAATCCTCTTTTCTATATGGTTAAAGAAACTTTGTTTCAAGGGAGATTCTATGGAGTGATGATAATTTGTATGCTTTATTGGAACTCTGCTTATACCAAGCAGAAGAGATTATCACTAAAAGTTGTGTTGGATGGGAAACAAGTTGGGCAGATGATGAAAGGGGGTTTATTTCTGAATAAAAAGAAAAATCATGAAATAGACACTGAAAGCTGACAGGTATCTGAAATTTCTCTCACTTTTTAAGATTATAAATAATAAAGCCCACCACCATATTCAAAATTCATAGCTTTGGGTGCGATTAAGATGGCGCTAATTACCCAGACTAGAAAGCATATCCTAGAACCTTTATATTCAGTTGTTACTTTGAAGGATGACTTCAGATAAGCAGCAGCTTTGATAAGTTACTTACCCCTGCCTAAATGCTTAAACTTCTATCATTTTGTAGCCAATTCTCTTCAAAACAGAAGAAAAAGGGAAGACACAGAAACTAAGGAAATCCTGACCCTGAGACCGTCTCAGAGTCAGGGTACTGTCACACTCCTTCACACACAGTGCTGTCACAAGGAAGCCATGTCTGCCAAAGGGATTAGGAAGCTTTATGACACAGAGGCTACAGCTGTGTGTGAACGTGCACCTCATCTCCAAGAGCAGATCCTACCATCACCCTCACCTTCATCATGGTCACCAAACATTTTATACAGTATTGCTGTCACAATTAATTCTGCAAGATCACTTAGTTATCCACACTTTTCAAAAACAAAAACTGAGGTTCAGAGAGGTTAAATAATTTGCCCTAAAACAGCTACCAAAGAGCAGAGAGGATTTAAATCCATGCCTGTGTGCAGTTTCTAAACTCGGACTCTTTCCATTTCTATATATTTCACAATTTATACTTTTTTTAAAAGGCTAGAAAGTGATAGATGGGTATTAGGATCCCAATTCCATGTGCCTGCCTCTCACTACTACTACTGTATCATAGTATTTTCACAGTAAGAGATGGCTCATTAAGAAGCTAAAACTAAGCCAGGTATGGTGGCACTTGCCTGTAATCCCAGCAGCTGGGGAGGCTGGGGGAGGAGGATGACCAGGGATTCAAAGCCAGCCTCAGCAACTTAGCAAGGCCCTAAGCATCTTAGTGAGAACCGGTCTCAAAATAAAATATAAAAAAGGCTGGAGATGTGGCTCAGTGGTTGAGTACGGCTAGGTTTGACCCTTGGTACCAAAAAAAAAAAAAAAAGCAGCAGCAGCTAAAACTATGGATGCATAACTAACTGCCTTCTGCAGTCCCACCTTGGTCAAGTAAGCAGTTATGCTTCCAAGTCCCTTTGTGAGAGAGTTCTGAGTAAGTAGATACAGGGCAAAATCTTTCAGGTGCGTGAAGTTCAGGACAGATTTAAAGTGGTGCTGGCATCTCCACTTTCATGACAAAAGGCACACAGATCTTATCCTCTGGGGCATTTTCTCAAGATCCCTGATAGATTCCTTTGGAGCCTCAGTAGAGGTACATTTTTCTGGTACCATGACCCATTTTCCACTGGTGCATTTTTCTAAATATAGGTCCCATTGCTTTAATTGAAATCTCAAAGGTCTGTAACTCCTTAAAAAGCTATCACTGTTCTACAGGAATAGCAGGAAAGCACAGAATGTAAGCCCTTTATTTTTAGCCCCTCTCTTCCTACTCTCTACAGGTTTAAGTCCCAGCCCACCAGGTTTTCCACTATTGTCAGAGGTTGAAGTCACAACAAAGGTTTCTGGGTTGAAGAGGGAAGGTAATAGTCTCCCCCAAACACTATGCCCAAGAAAGATTACAGACTGTCTCAGCCTGTACTGAAAACCTAACAATGAGAATGCTCCTCTTCTCTCTGCTACAATTCCTGCCCAAAAACCCATTCCATAAAATGAGAACTTCACATATCTCTTAAAAGGTTTGCTATTTACTTCTTGAAGATGAGCCAGGGCAAATAAACCTTGTATATCTTAAAATGTTAAATTTGATTCTATGTGTGGTTAGCATCCATTCCCGCCCATAGGTGCTTACTTTTAACAAGATAACATCCTAACTGGACTAAAACACAGATGCATATGTCTGATAGACTTCTACACTCTAATTACTTGTAGGTTAAAAAAACATACTAAGCAAAGTCACAAATGCACCTGTATTTTCTGACAATGCTGTTTCTATTCAGCTCATGGAATTCCAATGATATACTGCATGCTTCACAGTGCTGTACCAGCCTTCTTGAAAGAGGCAAAGTTAAAACTGTATTGAACTAATACTCAAGGGCCTCCTAAAAATGGGTTTTCAGAATCCAAGGGTCACCTTTTATCACTCTCCTTCTCTCCCTTCCCCAATGTGAAAGACATTTTCCAAACTTACTTCAGTAAAGAAATCAAAATTAGCTCATTTTACTCTTTGCGGGGAGGAGTCAAAGAAACTGTATTAGGCCTTCTCATGATCATGAGGGGATTGCACAGGACAAATATCCTTTCAGCTTCAAGAAATGAATCCCCAAGCATACCCTAAATCTGAGATTTGATGGTTTGTTTGTTTTTTAACCACCTTGGCTCTTGTTATCAGCCCTGTTAAAAAGGCAACAGGGAAGCCCCTTAAAAAAAAAAAAAAAAAAAAAAAAGCTGAACTTGTAGAAAATAAATGAAGTCAGTCTCCCTCCCCATCCTAGCATTTCCAATTCTTTTTTCTTTTTTAATTTTTTTTATGTGGTGCTGAGGAGCGAACCCAGGGCCTTGCACATGCTAGGTGCTGTACCACTGAGCCCCAGTCCACATTTCCAATTCTTAAGACTATCTCTGATTCTTTGACAATTTTGACCTGTTTCACCTGTTTTTCTTTGATCCTTTGCATTTAATAACATGTAAATGCAGAGGACAAAATAAAACTCTCTCTGGCTAAGACCACTGCCTCTGGAATTTGTTCCTGGAATCTGTTTTTAGAACCAGTCTCCCTCATCTTCTCTCAGCTTGGCTAGTCTGAGTGTCCAGCAGCCCCTGACCCGAGGGCAGACAGGATTGTTGGATTTATCCATTCCACTCTGGTGAACTTGCTGTTCCTCTGCTCTTTTCTTGCTGAAGCATCTACCTAATCACTCATTTGCTGACTTCTTACTTTATGCTTGATTATCACCGATTCAGACAGGAAGATTAAAATAGAAAATTTTAAAAAGAAAAAGGGACAGTAACTTTTTTGTTCTCTTTTAAGCCAATATTATAAATACAGTAAAGCCTTTGTAGCTTTAGTTCCCCAACTGCTTGTATTACTTTATAGTTTATACTTTAAAATGTAAAGTAAGTATTTCATAACTGCTTATAGTAGGATTGAAACAAATGGACTGTCACTGTTTATTAAAACTTTCCCAAAACATAGCACTTGAATGAGCATTTTTACCCTCACATAGAAGCTACATCTTGCTGAACTGGCTCATCAAGGCCAAGCTGCTGGTCTTACTAATGAGTTCTACTGTCTCACCAAGAGGACCACTGTTTCTAACTATTGCATGCTGACACTGGCTCCAACTGTGCTGGTGAAATCCCAGAAATAGCATTTTTACTGGTTCTAAAAGGAAAAAGAAAAGGAGCAGGGGACAAGAAACAAACCAACAACAACAACATCAAAAAAAAAAAACCCGCACAAATAAAAATTTTCACATTTGGACTGCACAGAAAGCAGTAACTTGACCAAAGTCAATATATATTTCTAAAATTGGTTTCATTTTAAATTTCTTATGAATACTGACATTGCAGGGGTTAGGTATTTGTATTTTGTTTTCAACATTCCCCTTGCAATCCCAGAATTAGATCAAGATTCTATCATGACGACTTTGGGAAAACACAGGGCTTGAAATAAAAACAACAGGAATATAAAAATAGCACCTTCACCTAAAAGATGGGATGAAACCAACCAACAATATTCTAGATTCCAAGTAAATAAAATCAAATAAACCTAGTATCACTTTTAATGTTAGGATACATTTGAGTATATGATCTCCTAGAGATACTAACTTTCAAAGATGGCCAGACTAATGGTAACATGCCCATCTTGTGGTACCTATTAAGATGTGCCAATGGGATATCTGGCAAGGGGAGGAAGAAATGGCACTTGGGATAATGGAAGAAGATCTTATCTACAATTTAGAAAGTTGACTACATTCTTAGGATATAGGACATAAAATTTTAGTATTTTTAAGAAAATATGCTTTATTTAGCAAATGAGAAAGCAAGTTATTTGAAAGGGTGAATTTTTCCAATTGAAATTCACTTAAGGAAGAAAGAATGGAGATCACCACCTTGTGGGACTCTACCCAAATGCTGATGGTGAATCTGGGGTAGGAAGTAGTCATGAAACATCAAAGGAGATCCTCATGGAAAGGAAAACTCAATCTTCCCTGAAGAAATGCAAACTCTCTGCCTTATTCCAAACATCATTACTTTTAGTTGTGAGGAAAATGCCAACTCTGCTTCTCAACTTTAAAAAAATCCAATAGGATACATCCTGTTTTCAATGTTAATTGTAGCTTACCTAAACTCGATATATTAGAGATTTAAATCAAAAGAATAATTCAGAATTTCACATTCTAGAAGTAACAACCAAGATACTTAATTTAAAATGCTTCACTGGCATTCAGAAGTATATTTATACGAGACTTTCCATTGGACACTTACTGTAAATATGGAAGCATAATAAAACAGGAGCGGAAAAGTGGTCTCCTTTTTATTTCTCTCCTGAAGAATGAGTTATGGAGAATGTAGTGGTTGTTCCACATCATAAATCGGACCTCTTTCAGACCCCGAGAGTTGGCTTCTTCAATCAGTCGAATAACAGACTACGGAGTAGAAAACAGGAGGTAAAGAGAAAGAAGTTAATAAACAATCACCATAAAATATGAAAATAGTTAACTTCACTGTTATTGCCAGAGGAATTTCAACAATGTACAATGGATCAAATTCATTTCTTTTATAAATGGGATCTCCCCTCAAAGATACAGAGTAGAAATATACTCCCTATTGAGAAGAACATAGATTTCTACCTATGAAACACGGGAGGCCCATGGCACTTCCTCTATTGTGTTTTCCACTTTAATGATGTCCTAGAGATTTTTTTTTTTTAATCTTTCTTAAGGAAATTTTCAGAAGGGGAAGTAAGTGTCAAAAGTTCAAAAACACCAATTAAGTTTCAAATCTGAGAAACCTCTGATAGGTAGAACACAGGAAGAGTTTAAGTTTTCTAAGAATACGTTTTAAACAGGCTATTTATTACTCTGAAAGATAAATGAAGGCAGATACTAGTGATTACTTAAAAGAATAAGAAAATTTTAGTTCAATAACACTAAATAAGGTAGAGAAGTTCTCTCATTCTGCAATGCTGAAAAGAAGTAATCAAATTGAAGAAGTCAGATCTGTGGAATATGAAATTAGTCTCTAAAGTTCACTTCAGGGTGTTTTGACGCCAGGTTTTCATTCAGAAGCAATGTAAAATATTGTTTTAAAACCTTCTTTGTAAGTGATGAGCTAGTTTCACTATCTCAGACAAAGGATGCATGAGCACATAGGACAAAATTGCAAATAAATTTATATTATTGCCTGACCACAGCTTAATAAACAATTTTAAGTACTTCTTTCAGAGACCTGAGAGTGACTGTTTTTCTCAGGGTTCTGAAATGTTAATCTAATCTCTATAAATCCAGGAGGCAGACACAAAGTTACACAAATTTTCATCTCATTAAAATCATTCTAATTGCACCAAGTCTAAATACTTTATCACGATAGTACAAAGATTCTGGGGAGAGCATTTTAGTTCTCTGATAATAGTAGCATTCTGTGTATGAATTTCAGATTAATGAAAATAAATACATTTTCAGAAAAATGGAGAAAAGTTTTACCTGTATCAAAGACTCTTATATCAAGAAGCTCTGTAATTATGACCTGTAGTTCTGCTTAGTCATTGTCAGAAAGGAAGAATAATATAACAGAGAAAGACAAAAACAAAACAAAACCCAACTCAAATGTATGGTTTTTTTTTGTTTGTTTGTTTTTAAAGATCATGTAAATACCTCAGGATATTCTCTCCATCCAAAGTGGTCTCTACAGAAGAATTTCCAAACTGTGTGGTAAATAGAGTTGACATTGCATGAGGATGGTGTGGATAGCCTTCGTAGTTGGTCAAATTCAGTTGTTTCATACACATTCATGGCATTCAAATCTGCCCAAAATTCTTGTCCTCTAAAAAGACCCAAGAAAAAACTGCTAAATAGAAATATCCATCTGAGTGGAAATTAAAATATCTAGTACAGCCTGTTGTAGGATTTTTAAAACTTGCTTTACTTTGAATAAAAAGATATTCTTGGTTGTTTTCTCAGTATCCATTCTCTAAATGCCCTTACCTAATAAGGGCCAAAACATCCAGGCCATAGAGTTATGGTAGAATTGTCAACAGCATTACTGGCCTAAACTAATCAATATAATTCCATATTCCAGTTCCCCGAAAGGTGAGTCAAACCCTGAGTGCAGGTAATCTGGATGTCAGTCTGAAGATGAAGCTCATATAGACATCCAAAAAGAAAACAAAATTTCTCTGGAAACTAAGCCAACATTCCTAATCCACCCAAAACCAATACTGTGTTTTATTCTTGAGTAGAAAAAAATGTTGGCAAAACATGAAGAGAAGATGATGATTTTGGATTATTGTGAGGGTAACTATGAGAATATTTTGCCATTTTGTTATCTGGTCTATAACTGTTGAATCAGCCCTTTCCAAACATCACCATATTGCTGGCAGGGGAAGTCCCACTACACAATTAGTTTCATTGAAAATTTAATTTATAATGCATGACCCAATTAAAACATGTATTTACTTTTCCTCTTTTTTTAGTTTGAGACACAGGTCTTGCTAAGTTGCTTAGGGCCTCGGGAAATTGCTGAGGCTGGTTTCAAATTTGTGATCCTCCTGCCTCAGCCTCCCAAATCACTGATTACAGGTGTGTGCCACAGCACCAGGCTTGTATTTACTATTTTTGGAGGGGAGGGACAAGGGTGTACTGAGGATTGAACTCAGGGGCACTAAACCACTGAGCCATATCTCTAGCCCTATTTTATATTTTATTTAGAGACAGGGTCTCACTGAGTTGCTCAGCACCTTGCTTTTACTGAGGCTGGCTTTGAACTCCAGGCTTTGATCCTCCTGTCTCAGACTCCCAAGCCACTCACTGGGAGCCGCTGAGATTACAGGTGTGCACCACCACACCTGGCTGTATTTACTCTTTTTTTTAAAATATCTTTATTTTTTTTTTTTATGTTGTGCTGAGGATTGAACCCAGTGCCTCACACATGTGAGGCAGGCACTCTAGCACTGAGCCACAACCCCAGCCCCCTGTATTTACTTTTTAATTAAATATTTCATCTAATATTTGAAATATTATTTTAGGTAACTGGCAAAGTGTCCATTTTCCTCCTCTCTTCTCTTTATTAAGTATGCTTGAAAATTTCCCTAAGCAATTATAAAAAATAAAATACATTAGAAAATAACATCATAGCTATCAACAAGATAATTAAGTTCCTAAATACGTTCCTCATACTCTCCCTTCTACTGAACATTTCTAAATGGTTGTCTACAAAACTCGGGATACTCCAGAATGAGCAGTATTCATAACAACTGGGACATGTAAAATTCAGGTGTTGGGCCTAAATTATTTTCCCAAATAACTTAGTTCCTTTGCTGTAATTCATGATTTTGGAAAGTGTATTAAAATTTTTATCTGCTTGCTTTGTTGGTTAGTGCAACACTTTTCAAACTATGTTTGGTGTACTCATTTGAAGGACTGTGACATATTCTGTACAGAAAGAACTCTGGTGTAAATGTCTGAAAAACACTTTGTTGCTGACTGCAGCCTCACCACAATCCTTTGGAGCGCTAAGGAAGGTGCTGAAGTGCTAGCACAAAGCCTTCCAAACCTACCACCAAGGCTCTCCCTTTTCCTCATGAATGCCTACTAACATCTCTCAATACCCCTGACAAATGTCAAGGAAAATCTACTTCTCGCCCTTCATCCTGATGTAATTTGTAAGTCAGGTTCTCTATGAAAACAATTCAGGCCAAATGCCTAATTGATGTTACCAAAAAAAGCATATAACTTATAAAAAGAAATATATTTATTTTAAATATATCTTTTTATTTTTATTAAGCATAGGCAATAACATATAGCTTAAATCACATTTGATCACTGTTTTGTTTAAAATGATTTACAGTAAATAGTTATCGCTAATTTAAAAGGGAAAATGTTTCTGGGAAATCCTAAAAAAGAGAAAGAAAGAAAAAAGAAAAATTCTGAAATTTGGAACTCTTATGCCAAACCCCACATCAAATTGCCTTAAATAATTTTTATGGCCTTTAGGAGACCATGATGTTATAATTGAGAAGAGAAAGACAAATCTTTCCCTGTCTTAAGGCCATTTCGGATTTCTCCGAAATGGAGATGAGCTTATTTCTCATCAAATGTTCTCGGTTTATAAGTTAACAAATCCTATTTCCTTTAGGAGTTTTTAGAACAGCAGTCATTATGTTAACACGCATAAAACCAATGTTTTTTGCTGTTTAAGTATGAGATTTCATTTTGGACATCATGCTAGCAATTTCCATGCACGCCTGAATTATTGAAACTTCACAGATAATGATTTGCATGAGAAAGACATCTACAACTGCAGCTTTTGCTACATTCTCTGTGAATTTCAGTCCTTTGGGCATTATGACATTTCTATGACAGATCCTAATTTACTACTATCAACTTTCTTTGGGTTGATGGATCAAAGTACTATTTTAGCTGTATTTGATTTTCAATGTGCAGTTCTAGACCTAACAGAGGCAAAATAACAAATTTGAAAAACATTAAATTATCCTTTTTATAAAATTAATTTTACCACCTGCTTCCCTTAAACAGGAATGCTTTAAAAATCCAAAGCCAAGATTTTCCTCCACAATTTGCATCAGTATAAACGTGTGCATTACTGTTGCCCAACATTCAACATCCACCATTTTTCTTTATCAAACTACTGCTTCCTAATATCAGAAAGCAGTTATGAGTCTTCTATGTGTAGTAATGGTAATGGTGGGATGAATCGGGCAATACATAATGAATTAAACAGATGTAGGCCCTGCATTCCAAGGGCTTCATGAGAGGAATAGTTAACACAGTATAAAACCAGAAGCAGTTTATTTGCCTATCTAAACTCATCAGTGGTAAATACATACAAGGGAATGAGAGGAAAAAGAATAGACATGCAGCATTATGGGAAAGAAACTAGTTACTGGTGTCCAGGAATGGATAAAACTCAGGAAAGTAAGATGCTTCACTTTATCAACCAAGAAAGCTTTCTGTAAGAGAAAAGAATTTTAGGAATTTAAATATTAGGAAACATCAATGGTGAGTAAAAGGCTGTATCAAAGAACAAGAATAGTTTTCCAAGCACTTTGCTTCTCATAAGAAGGGAGTAGTTCAGACAGCCAAGGAGGAGACCTTTTGAACAGGGTAACTAGGGTACATAAGAAAATGTGAACCAGGGTGTAACAGGCATGTGAGAGATGTCAGGCCATGAGTTAAGGAGTCTGCCTTCTCAGAATCTTCAGGTTGGAATATTATGAGTATTGAGCAGATAGGGACAGAGGGTCAAAGTAGTAAATATAGAGTGTGTGGAAACTGTGCAAGAGAAACAGTGCTAGAGATTGGAGAGTGTGGGAGCAGTGAGGGTGGTCTTTGTAAAAGCATGGTGCAGGGTTGGGATTGTGGCTCAGAGGTAGAGTGCTTGCCTAGTATGCTTGAGGCACTGGGTTCGATCCTTAGCACCACATAAATATAAAGATATTGTGTGCACCTACAACTAAAAAGTAAACATTTTTTTAAAAAAGCAGGGTGCAATAATTCTGGATAATAATTCTATCTGGCCTGAGGGCATTCCTACTTCTAGATGACCAGAGAGAAGTAACGGAGCTAGTCACTACATAGATCAGTTTAGCTTTCGCTAAATATATCATGTGGCTAAATCAATCTGTATTGTTTTACCTCAGATTTAATCCTGCTATGAGTCAGGGGAGAAAAAAAAACAAAACCTTGCTTTTGCTATAAAGAATGGACTGAAACTGCTGAAATATTAACCATTGTTTTCACAAGCTTTGCCAACTAACACACCACCACACATACACTGTAAGAATCCAGATACAAGGTTCATTTTAAATTTTGAAAAGGGCACCCATTCTCATAATTTAGATATTTTGTGACAGTGTTTCTCCTCTTACTCAACAAATATCTTCACATACTAATTAGGCCAACATCTTCCAACACATATTACCAATATACAGAGCTCCAACACCCACACTAAGTCAGAAGTATTCCTCACACATCATTTCTTTTTTTGTTTCAAATACTAAAAGAAACTGAAAGCCTACAATAAGGACAGGCAGCTGGAATGAGAAACAGAACCAATAAAGAAACAGGTGTTGAATGAAACAGAAATCAGTACACCACTACTTACTAGGAGATAGACAGTTCCTAAGTTTATGCATTTGGGAGCTCAGGAAAGAACATAACCACTGTAGGCAATAGTATTTGAATACCAAAAGGAAATGTGATCATTTTTAAAGCTAAAATAATCTTAAGTAGACACATGATTAGGTAGTGGGCTACATACTGGGGACAGGAGAAAAAAGGTAAAAGGCCACAGAGCGCTAGCTAGTCTAGCAGGAAAAGCAAACCCTGTGGCATATGTGAAACATGGCCTATAGATCTGGGAACAACTCAAGCAGATGCCTTACCTCTGCTGGAAGAGGTGACAGGAAGAGTGGTCAAGGGACATCCCAAAGTAGATAAAATGTGTGTCCAGTCTAGTCAATCACCAGGAAGACAGGGGAGGCCTGGCCCTACAGGTAGTGACTAACATGCACAAGGAGCGTGTTTGAGAAGCAATGTGGCTCATATAGACGGTCAGGGTGTCCACAAGTAGAGACTGGACTGAAGTCTGGCTGGGCCAGGTAAGGAATGGCTGAGGCTGGATGCAGTGGCACACACCTGTAATCCCAGCAGCTCGGGAGAGGTTGAAACAAGAGGATAGTGAGTTCAAAACCAGTATCAGCAACGGCAAAGTACTAAGCAAGTCAGTGAGACCCTGTCTCTAAATAAAATACAAAATAGGGTTGGAGATGTGGCTCAGTGGTTGAGTGCCCCTGAGTTCAATTC